CGGCATATTTTTTTTTTGTGCAAATTATCAGGGGTGGCGCTAAGGGGGCAGACGTGAAATTTTCAACATTTTTAAAAGCTTATATTTCGAAAACTATTGAACCGATTTTAAAACTATGGACACAGTTGGAAAAGTGATTGAACCTGACGGACCTTTCATTCGATATATACTTATATATATAATAAATACATATTTTGAGGAAAAGTACAAAAACCTAATTATGGCAATTTTTTTTATAAAAATGTATTTTTTCGTAAAAATACGCAACTAACTATAATAAAAGATATGTTTGTCTGAAAGAGCACAAAATACCTTTAATTTGACGTATAATTTTATATAGTTAGGTTTAAGTACAACTGCCAACAGTGAAATAAACCCACTATATTAATGTTATATTCTATTAATTTATTTCAATTTCGTAATCATTGTCATTATCATCATTTTCGTCTACATTTTGAAGTTTCAGGGGATTGTACTTTAAAAAAGTTTCAAAGTTTACGTAAGTTTTACGAAGACGACGTTGTTCCGATTTTTTATTCCAAATTTTCTCCTGCGGCGCTTTTTTCTTTTTTTTTATATAAAAGCATACTTTATAATATATACCTGCGGCGCTTTTTTATATAAAAGCAAAATTTAATACATATATACCTGCGGCGTTTTTTTAAGTTTTTATATAAAACGATAGTTTACTATGCAGCTAATGAAAATTTGGAATAAAACATTTTTTACTCCAAATTGCTGCATGCGGCGCTTTTTCTTTTTCATATAAAATGATTTTTTAATATATATTTAAACAAATATAATGTGCAGAAGAATTTTTTGTTACAAGTCATACATCAAATTAAATATATTTTTGTGCTCTTTCTGATAATCATATTTGTTAACATAATTAATTACGTATTTTTTTACGAAAAACATACATTTTTATAAAAAAAATTGTCATAATTAGGTTTTTGTACTTTTTCTCAAAATATGTATACATTATATTCGAATGAAAGGTCCTTCAATAACTTTTCCAACTGTGCCCATGGTTTTAAAATCGGTTTAATAGTTTTCGAAATATAAGCTTTTAAAAATGTTGAAAATTTCACGTTTAGCCCCCTTAGCGCCACCCCTGATAATTTGCACAAAAAAAAAATATGCCGTTAAAATCAGGAAAAGAGGGCGGTCCACGCCTACTTTTTTTTAGCTCATCGGCCCCAATTCCAATTATTGTTTAAACGTTTACGAAATGTTTACCGTAAAGTAAAAATGATGAATTTATAAACGGCTTTTGCTCGATTTTAGGGATGAGAAAAGGACGAACTAACGACGAACAAACAATTTATCACAGTTAACAAAGGAAAATAATGAAATTCTTACATTTGGGGTGCTAAAGGCAGGAACCGTAAAATGTAAAAAACTAATTATAAATGTTTGGCTTAGGAACAAACGTTAAAAAATGGACGAACAATGAAGAACAAACGACAAGCTATCGATGGCAATAATAATTAACCCAAAATAATCTGTTGCGGGTGCTAACTTCAGGAATTACGTAAAGTGAAAATTGAAAAATTAATTATAAATTTTTGGCTAACGAACAAACGTTAAAAATGGACGAACATTAAAGAACAACCGACGAACTATCGATTGCAATACAAAACTCTTAATATTTTCACAAATGGGGTGCTAACGTCGGTTCGGTGCGCATTGACAATCAGTACAAAGCAAAATTACAACAAACACACTTGGGGTGTTCACAGTTCGTTCCAAATAGTGTCTCAAAATGTAGACGTCTACATTTTAAGACGTTTTCTAACCGTAAAATCTGTGGTGTTGTTGTTTCCCATACAAAATTGGAAAACGACGCCGTCTACATTTTGTCACACTCAAAGGTATATTTTTTACGCATCTACATTTTGCAACCTCGCAGCAGGGTTGCATTATGGCAATACAAATCGCATTTTTTTATTTATTGGGCACGTTTTCTGTATTTGCATTTAATTTGAGCGCAATTTCTGATGAAAAGAAACAAATCAAGGAAAAGAAATAACAAATATTAGGAATTGGTAATTAAGTTAAATAATTACAATTTTTCAGAAACAAAATCGAAAGGCGACATATAAAAAAGCACGCAAAGAAGAAATGTCTGGCAACACCAGCAAAGTTTTGATGCTAAAGATGTCTCAAAATGTAGACGTCTACATTTTCAGACACAATTTGGAACGAACTGTGAACACCCTAACTATTTTGACAAAAGGTACAAATTCGCCGTGAAATCAGCGGATCCGATAACACCACCTTGTATAGATTCGCCTTGATGTATACGATTGTTACGATTATCCTTGAAACCTTGAGGGATTTCCCAAATATCCTCCGGCTCGTATCGCTGGATTGTTAAATAAATGCTAATGATGACTAAATTGTAGTACAATTAACTTTATTGTACAACAAACAATTAACAATACTTGCTAATACAGTAAAAACACTTTACAATACTTGTTAAAGCAATAACAACGCTTTACTAAACTTGTTAACACAATTAAACGTATACCTTGCTTATTCGCAACTCACTTCTCTGCTCACTTTACTTGTAGCTTGCTGACTTGTAACTCGTAACTAACCCACTTCGCTGTGGCGGCGCCCTTATATACCTGCGCTCGCACTTATGGCAACTCTAGAACGGTCTGAAGTTTATCGCTCATTCTCTTTCTCTCGCTGTTCGCAGTGTTCATCCAACTTGACGTTTCTCTTTGTGGAACATTCTACGTCATCCTCGAACATTCTGCCTATTTCTCGTTGTTCGCTTTGTGTTGCCGCAGTATTCGCCACACTGCCCTCCACCTAAGACTGATCGTCCCGATCAGACACACTTGCGGTTCCAAACGCTGCAAGCCTTTCCAAGTGGACCACCTTCATCTTGTTTCTTGGTCTCCCAACAGTCTGGATCCGATGCACTGCGTCCTTCACCCGTTTGTTAATCTTCGAATCTTTCCAGTCACGTCTTCGCTTGGAGTTGAAGCTTTGCTTCTGCTGCGAGATGTACAACCGCCATGCGTTACTGGACATTACTTCCGGCTTATCTTCGGGAGTGCACCATCTCACATGGTCGTGCTTCTGCCGGCCACTGGTGGTGACCAGACCATGTCTCTTCTCGTGGGCACCCTTTTCGCCAGATCTATGCCGCATCATCTGTCCGTGATACCCAGACTCCCGCCTTCGTGCTGCACTGCCGTTAGCACATCTTGCTACATCCGGATCCTTACGCTGAAGCTTCCGCCGTCGTTTCTTATCTCGCTCTTCCGCCGATGCTAACTTCATTGACTGGACATTTATAATCTCTCCCTTGGCTTCCGGCTTAACTGCTCACCTTTGCCGACCACCTTTTTCGGGACACTTCAAAGCGCGCCTACTGCTTCCATTTCCGGCCACCGGCGTATCACCATTGCAACGTGGTTCAGTGGCTTTCCTCCTGCCGGGAACACTGACTGGCTCGCCATGACCACTTCCTTGTTTCGACCTCTTCTTCACTGAGCTGATGGTACCGTCACGCTTTTCCTGTATCGGTGAACCACTTCCTTCTTCTGACGAAACCATTCCGTCTCCATCACTGCCAACCTCCGCCCAACTAACCGCTTCTGTTTCTAGTGGAATCTTCGACACTTCCTCTAAGGCTAACCGTTTGCTGCAGCACTGGCTGTCGTAACCAACCCTAAGTGGCACTGTCCTGTGACGATCTGTCAGGATCATTCTCTGGAGGTCAATCTTCATGCCTTGGCCAAGTAAGAAATCCACGCCAATGATGACTTCATCCACAATGTCTGCCACTATAAACTTAGTATACGAGGCCACATCGTCGATTATTACCTCGCATGGTACTTCTACTAACACTTGGGTGCGTTCACCAGTTGCAGTCTGCAGCTTTGCTCCAGGTAGTGGCTTCATATAAAAAGTAGCCAAATCCGGTCGAATAATGGAACGTGTCGCTCCAGTATCCACTGTCAGTACTCTCTCCTGCCCATTCACACATCCACCAATAGTGAGGTTGCATGCTTTCCGGCCAATTTGTGAGACGGAGAAGTTGAAGGGCCCACTTCTGGAGCCAGCAAGCGGCCCTTCCTGCTGGCTCGTTTCAGTTTAACGACTGATTGGAGTTGGCTTCGTCTCCTTCAGCCCTGCGTTTGCGTCCTGCTGAATTGTTGAGCCCACTGGAACTTGCGCTGCAATCGCGGGCGAAGTGGCCTGGCTTTGCACATTTAAAACATTTGCCAGAGCCATGCTTTTTCTCGCCCAGCAGTTGGATAATCTTCTTCAGCATTTCATTTGTCTCGTCCGGTGTTTCCACTTCCACGCGATGTGCTTTGTAGGCTGGTCTACTTAGGAGCGCCGCCGTTTCACGCGTCTGAGCATACGAGACAGTTTCAGCAAATGTTGGCTTTGGATTCGCGTACGTCTCTCGCTTGGTATACACGTCCCGCATTCCGTTGATGAACCTCTGGATTTTTACTCTTTCGAGGTGCTCACCAGATGCATCTCCAATTGCCAAATGAGCGAACCTTTCAACCTCGGAGGCGAATTCCTGTAGAGTCTCGTTGGATTACTGGCAGCGATTCTCCAGCTCCATCTGGTTAATCTGTCTCCTGTGCTCGCTAC